TTGTACATTGCCCTAATTTAAATTTAATATTTTAGCATCGTTCTACTTACATAATGTACATGTAGGTTCTTAATGTATTATTTTTCAGGGAAAGTTTATGATTAAAGTAACAGCTCAGTTATAATCATAGAAATATAAATATCGTAGATACTTTTTTGCATTGAAATAATTATTCTTCAAACACATATATTACTTATTTAATTAAAAAACGTGTAAATCCTTACCATCAAAATGATACGTCCTTTGACTTCGGAGTTCCGAATGAAAATAAAGACTGAACGATAAGTGAACGGTGAACGCAAGGTGAACGCAAAGTAAACGGAACGAAGAGCGAACGGTGAACGTTTTGTGAACGTTGAACGCGAGCGCACGGTAAACGGTGAACGCAAAAATGTGAACGAGAGCGAACGGTGAACGAACGGTGAACGAACGCTGAACGAACGGTGAGCGAACGGAAAAATGGGAAAGTAGAACGTTTCAGGGACTGTAAGTGCATCCTAGTTTTTGCTGGTTTTAAGGTAGCTAGAGGTGAAGTGAGGTTCAAATCAAAATTTGTTCCGTCATATGTATTAGTCATTTCAAAAATGGATGATTTAAGTGAGATAAAAGTATTTTGGGAAAGTTTAGGTCTTAGAGATGACGATCTAACAAATTTCATTAAAGCTTTACGGAGGGATGAGAGACAAGCACAGAGAGAGTTGGATAAGATGAAAATAAATCCTCAGACCGAGGTAGAAAAAGAGAGACTACGTTTTGAGTTAGAGAGAGAGAAAATGAAAAATGACATTCAGAAAATGAAATTAGAAACAAAAGCCTACTCTTCAGACAAATCAAAGTTTACAGTTGGTTATGTTTTGCCCAAAACACCCAAACTCCCTTTTATGATTCTCATGATGAGATGGATAGTTTTCTCCTTAGGTTTGAGCAATATACTGAGGCTCAGCATTGGGATATATCAAACTGGGCTATAAATCTTAGTGCATTATTAAAGGGGAAGGCCTTAGATGTCTATGCGTTGATGACAAAAACTCATGCTCTTGATTACAACACTCTTAAGACAGCTTTATTGAAACGGTTTGAATTGACCCATGATGTTTTTAAAAGAAGTTATGATCATGTAGGCCAGATCAGTGTGAAACCTTTTCTCAATTTGCTGTCCGACTGAGTAGTTACTTTGAAAGGTAGGTTGAAATGGCAAAGGCAACCAAGACATATGAAGGTTTGTAAGATCTTTTGTTGCGAGATCAATTTCTGCATGCATAAAGTCAAGACTTAAGATTGTTTTTGAAGAAAAGAATATCCGACAGTCTAACAAATATGGCAAACATAGCTGACCAGTACAATGATGCCCGTGACGTAAGTGTGCTTTAAGCTGTAGGTAAGGGTAAGATTTCTTTGTCAAAAAATATTCGTTTCCTACAATTATGTCATTTTCTTCTTGCCAACGTAACATAACTTCTATAATGCCTATATCTGCAGGATATATGTTAACGATATACCAGTGACAATCTTGAGAAAAACTGGCTGCAGTGGTATTGTCATAAGGAGGAGCAACATGCAAGATGAAAACCTAGTACAAGGTAAGAAACAGACTTGTGTTCTGGCAGATGGTTAAAAAATAACTGTTCCGATTGCAGATGTCTCCATTGACACTCCCTTCCTGAAAGGACAGCATTAGGTATGGTATATGGAGAATCCAGTGTACGATCTGATAGTTGGTAATGTCCCAGATACCAAGTCAGCGACTCAACCAGATCCAGATTGGCAGGTAAATGTTGTTGAGACCCGGCAACAGAAACGTAACCAAGAGCAAACCTTACGCTCAGCTTAAAGTACCAGCCATCAACTCTGAGAATCTTGATCCATTGATAATTAATAATGCACAAGAGCAGGATGTTTCTCAGAAAAAGTTACGTAAAAATGTTGAGAACCACGTGACTCAGATGAGGAAAAATGGCAAGGTGAGTTGGTTTAAGAAAAATGTTTCTTATGTTTAGACAATACACCATTCGTACTGGAAAAGAAGACAAGGTGTATACGCAGTTGGTTGTTCCTGCAAAGTTTCGGGACCAGGTAATGAAACTAGCGCATGATTCTTTGTTAGCAGGACACAGCGCACATCAGCAAGACTTACTTCAAAATTCTGCTGGCCAGTGATGCAAAGTGAGGTGTGGCGTTATTGTCAGTCATGTGACATATGTCAACGCACAGTTCACAAAGGTAAAGTACAGAAAGTCCCACTGGATCTAAAGCCACTCATAGATGAGTCATTCCAGAGAGTTGCCGTCGATCTGGTTGGACCACTTTACCCAAGCACGGACAAAGGTAATCGATATATTTTGACTCAGGTGGATTATGCTATTCGCTATCCCGAAGCTATGGTTTGCTTAGCATCGAGACAGAGATACATAGCCCCTGATAGAGATATGTTTACGAGAAATAGTGTGCCCCGTGAGATGTTGACAGATATGGGAAGCGAATTTACTTCTTCTCTAATGTTAGAGGTGAGTCGACTTATTTCTCTTTGACAATGGACCACAACGCCATATCATCCGAGCTGTAATGGGTTGGTAGAACGTTTAAACGTAACTCTGAAAAAATTTTTGAAGCGACTTTGTTCTGAAAAACGTAAAGATTGGGACAAGTACCTCAGTGCAGTTCTGTTCGCTTATAGAGAAGTTCCAGAGGAGAGTCTTGGATTTTCTCCGCTCGAGCTTGTATATGGCAGATCAGTTCGTGGACAAATTTCAATCTTGAAAGAGTTATGGGCCAAGGATATTGCAGATCCCAACGTGAAGACTACATATCAATACGTCCTGGATTTCACAGACAGACTTCAGTTTATGGCAGATTTAGCAAAGGAAAATTTTGAAAATTCGTCTACTAGGTTTAAGAAACACTATGACAAAAAACAAGGCATATAAGTCTAAAGGTAGGGGAGAGATCATTAGTTGTTTTGCCACTTGATAGCAACAAGTTACTGCTTCACTGGAAAGGACCTTTTGTAGTTACTAAAAAGGTAAACAGGGTAGATTATCAATTGGATGTTCAAGGTATAAGATGATAACGTTCCACATAAATCTATTAAAGAAGTATGTAGAGAGACCTACGTCAGATAAGGTTTCGATGACGTGTGATGCAGGTGTACTTGGTTTGGTTAACGCATCAGTTGTTGATAGGGTTGATGATGAAAACCAAGAAGGCCAGCTAGATGAGTATTCTCAATCAAATGTTAGTGGAAGTTATGTTAAGGTGATTCGAACCTGTCGCCAAAGTAATTGGATTTAAAAAAAATGATAAGAATGATACTAGAGGATTTCCTGCCTTGAGCAATGACAGTTTTGATATGGGTCAATGCACCTGTGAACATGAGTGTGTTGAACTTGTCTGTTGTCCAAAAATAAACAAGTGATAGACATAATCAACAGTAAAAAAATAAGATTTTATTTTTCAATAGTATTTTTATATCATGGAAATGAAAGATAATAACATTGTCTTCCTACTGAATAACTAAAAGTATTGAAATAGTAAATGATTTTTAAAAAAGTTCATCAGAATTTCCTCAGACTGCTCTTAAAAATGCCATTTCTAAAAAATGGCAGAAAATCATACCAAAAGTAATTGGAGTTTTTTTTATTTTAACTTCTGTGAATAGCAGTGATACAAAGCTTCAAACCTTAATTTAGTAGGTTCATGACTCCGGAAGAAAGATATAATCATCTGACTTTCATTGGGTAAAATTTTTAGCCTTTTTCCAAAAAAAAAAAAAAAACATTTATATATGAAAAGATAAACACAAGAAATCTTTAAAGTTTGCATAAAATAATCAAATACATTGTATAATTCATCAATTCTGAACATTTGAGGTAAAAAAAAATTAATAAAATTAATTAGCTTCAGAAACATTAAAATAATCTCTCAGTTCGAATTTCATCTGACATATTGCAATTAAATGCATTTTTCATGTATGCATTGTAATATTTAGTTCAATTTTTTTTTTAAGTTTACAAACCTGCCGCTTAAGATTTTGAATTATCAAGGGGAAAAATGATGAAAACAAGATATTTTTTTCTTTCCGATGTTAAATTTGACATAGGTATAGGTACATTTGGTATAGCAGCACCATAGCCTGGTTCAGTGTAAAAAAAAATAATATTTTGTTTTTCTATTTGCTTTTCGTTTTTGGGGGTTTGTTTTTTGTTTGTTGTTTTATTTTGTTTGTTTGTTTGTTTGTTTGTTTTTTTTTTTTATTTTTTTTTTTTTGGTTTATTTGATTGTTGTTTTTTTTTTTTTTTTTTGTTTTTTATTTATTTTTTTTTTTTTTTTTTTTTTTTTTGATTTCGCAATAGTCAATTAGTCATCCCAGGTTTTGAATTTCGGTAAAATTGTAGATTCTGAAAATAAATTTGTACCAAACTTTGCTTAGATTGTGTCACCTCTCACTGATTTGATAAGAGAAGGTTCTCCTACTAAGCTTCTCTGGAAAGAGTGTCATGATTTAGCGTTTCAGACGTTGAAGAGTTCATTAACAAAGTGTCCTATTCTGAAACTTCCTAACATCAATGATACATTCATTTTAGAGACAGATTCTTCAGACAGAGATCTTGGAGCAGTCCTGTTACAATGGGAACATAGTCAAAAACTACCAATTACATATGCTAGTAGGAAGCTTAAAGGGAGTAAGTGCAAGTATGCAACAGTTGAGAAAGAGTGTCTAGCAATAGTGTAGGCTATTCAAAAATTCCAAAACTATCTGTATGGGCAAGAGTTTGTATTAGAAATGGGCCACAGTCCCCTTGTTTATCTGAACAAGTAACGAACTCAAAACTCATGAGGTGCGCACTTAGCCTACAACCTTACAGGTTCAGAATTCAGGCCATTAAGGGCAAAGACAATGTTGGTACTATCTACTTAAGTCGTTTGTAAATATGTTATTTTCAAATCAATAGTGTTTTATCAATCCAGTGTGCTTTTCGTTCAATACCGATATGGTAGATTGTCTACCTAACGGGGATAAAGGACCATTTGGTAGGTTGTGCCCAACCTGTACAATTGGCAAGAAACTACAAAAATTCAAATGAGAATAGTTCTTATTTTTCAGCCATAAATATATCAAACTTCTATATATTGATTTTAAGTAAATGAAATAAAACTCACATTATGTAAACAAATGCATTTAAAATGTATTTTGTTGTCTCGATACACAATATTATATCATATCAATCTGACCTTAATTTGTGCGAAAAACCATGCGAGCTTGAACAGTTTGTTGAGCTGTATGTTTCATTTGAATCGATTCGTATAGATTTAGTAGCACATATTTGACTATTTAAAATTACAGTGTACAATTGCTGTCATAATAGTTTGTCTGTAAAGTAGCAATTCGTAATATTGCATCTGTGTAGGAGTTCTCCGATAATTATAACTTCCCACGAGTATGTGTAATTGAGACCTATGTAAAACGTGTTCATTATGATTGTATAATGAGTGTAAAGTATTTTTTGTGTAAAGCCCCTAAAGCTTGTAAGTAAAACTCATGTGTACGAGCAGGTTCCAGCGTCAAAGTACGACAGTGAGGTTGCCCAGTGTGCCCTTGGAGTGTAGTGTATATAGGCCGCCACCCTTGGAACGTAAAGTCCATCCTCCAGCCTGTGATTTGAGGTGGAAAGCATGAGGCGCAACTGGACACCAGGACAACAGCAGCAATCACAATGATTTTGTTCATTTTTATAAAAAATTATCAAATATGTAAATTGTATGAAAGGAAACAAGCGATTAAGTTTTATTCAAAATTTGTAAGAAAAAGTAACTCCGCTTGACTATCTGTGACAATAACTAAAGACGGTAATTGTCAGAAGCGAATAATCCATACGGATAAGGGGAAAGAGGATAGATGGTTTATATAGATTTTAAGGACAGATGATACAAACAAATTTTATCTTTGGAGGAGACTTAATATCATGTCACAAGTTTAGAAAAGTGGATAATTCTTAGAATGTTTCCTCCTAAGAACTGGAAAATGAAATAGACTTGTAAAATATTACTAATATTTCAATAAAAAACTAATATTGGCAAATCACACTCAGTAAAGGTTTACAGGTGAAAACACATTTCAGAATATGTTAACTTGGTGATAAAAGTGTAATATAAACTTTAGAATTAGATACCGAGCCAGGTCAATTTTACGAGGAAATACAATATAGTAAAAATCACCCTATATTATATAGGCTGATTTTTACCATTTTGCATTTCCTCATAAAATTCACCTGGCTTGGTATATTTTTCTAAGGTTTATATTACACTTGTAGCACCAAGTTAATATATTCTGAAATTTATTCTCATCTGTAAACCTTTACCGAGTGTGTTTTGTCCTTTTTTTATATATATAATTTTATTGAAATATTAGTAATATTTTCCAAATCTATTTCATTTTCAAATTCTTAGGAGAAAAAAAAAATCTAAGAATTATCAACTTTTCTAAACTTGTGACATGATATTAAATCTTTTTCAAAGGAAAAAAATTGTTTGTATCATCCGTCCTTAAACCAAAAAAATTCCTTTAACCCCCCAGAACCCTTATATACCGGGGGAAGAAAAACTCTCTGAAAAGTTTACAGTCAAAATGACGGGCAATCAATAAACATGTCTTTTTAGTTTATTAATTAGATATTCATGTTCAAAATATACGCATTCCTTGTAAAAGATTGTATAAGATACAGTCCTGACCACTTTCGAATTTTAATCATTTCCGATTTCCAAGTATTAACCAATTTATAATATATAACTAGGAGACTTATTGTTCACAGAACAATAAGAGGTCTTTCCACCTTCTTTGTATTTCAAATTTGTTTTATATCTGTTTCCAAAAAAATAAATTCCATGAAAAAGGAAACAAAACTCTCTTAAAGCATATAAAAAATTAAAAAAAAATGATCTTGACCTTTAACCTTGAAGAAATGTTCAAGGTCAAAGGTCAAGGGTCACAATACAATTGAACCCATGCTTTTAAAACTTATAGTTTTTAAGTCATAAGGATAAATCGTAAGTACAAAGAAGTAAAAGGGCAATAACTCATATGAGGGGTCATCAGATCCTTTTGTACTTATACGGTGAAGACACTTAAGACATTAGCGAAGGTTTGGTGTCTCTAAGGTCTACGGTTTAGAGGGAGAAGCGATAACAAGGTTTTTTGCACAAGGTGCAATAACTTTTAAAGGGGTTATTGTTAGGGGACAAAAATGAAATCTTTAAAACAGTTTTAAGAGTACATATTAATGATGTATAGACATTAAGTATATGATAAAAGACAAAAGAGATATAAAAATAGCCAATTTCTCATTTTTGAAATGACCTTTTACCTTTGACATTTACATAATTTTAAGGTCAAAGGTCAATAATTCTTATGCAGTTGGTTCCATGTCTCTACGACTTCTCATTTTATTTTTTTTTTCATTATTTGTAAAACTCAAGAACTTCCAGGGGCAATAACTCATTGAAAGGGTCACCAAAAGGTTTCTCAATGAATCAATGAATACTTTAACAAAATCTTTCAATGTGAGTGGGGCTTCGCTCCATTTTTTTTTTTGAAAGATAATCCTAAAAGTTTGCGATAATATATATATATATACTCCCCGTCAATGGAAACGCAACACCCTATTTTTAGGATGAAAATTATATACAGGTTATAACTATGTACCAAAAAATTAGGACATCTTTTACTTTGCCAAATCAGTTATATAACGGTTGAATTAATTTCTTTCCATTACCGGAAGTTGCTCTTTATCCATCTTAAAAGAATTCAAAATTCTGCATTTTTAATAAAATTTTAATAATATCTTGGGTTTTCAAAGTTTTGAAGCTGTTAACCATAAGTATTGTACTAAAACGCCGGGATGAAATCCTTCTTTCTATAGGGAAGTAGTTGTGATGTGATGCCTATATTTCCTTAAAATTACTGAAAGCAAAAGGGGGATGTTTTAAGAGTTATGTAATACCTTCTAAAGTTTAATGATAGCATTAAAAAAGAAAATATATCTTCAAAAGTAAATTTACAAAACATGAATGCTCCATTTAAACATTAAATGATTTTTTTAATATTTGAAAGAAACAAACACCAGGTACATGTAAATCTTAAAACACCCCGCTTCCGACCATTTAATTAAAACGTGCTAGTCCGCCATATACAACAAATGTAGCCAGATTTCTACTATGCATTAGGTTTATAGACATCTTAATCTGAGCAAAATGAATATACTTGGGCATTTTTAAAAGCATTTTTCAGATACTATGGTCGAATTTTCTCTAACTTGGTGTAGTGTAGCAACTTTTGGACTTCCGGTCAAGAAACTTTCATTTATGCTATTGAAACACATGAGCCTGATGAGTAGTTGTATAGTGTATATTTGCATCTGCACTTTTTTTTTCTTTATTTTGAGAATTTTTAGCATTAGCAAGGAAAATAAATCATTTTGAGGAAATATAGGCATCACTTCCGGTAAAGAAAGAAGGATTTTCTCTCCGGCCTTTTAGTACAATACTTATGATTAACAGCTACAAAACCTCGAAAACCCAAAATATTGTTAAATTGTTTTATTAAAAATGCAAAATTTTGATTTCTGTTAAGATGGCTAGAAAGCAACTTCCGGTAGTGGAAAGAAATTCATTCAACCGTTAAATAATTGATTTGGCAAAGTAAAAGTTGTCCTAACTTTTTGGTACATAGTTATAACTCGAATACATGTATAATTTTCAACCTAAAAATAGGGTGTTGCGTTTCCATTGCAAGTGAGTATATTTTGGTTTACAAAATATGGAGGAAAGACCCTCATACCTTAAAAATACAACTTTATGACAAAACATTCGCATCTTTCCGAGAAATACATCAAGTCCATTAAGAAAAGGGTCATATCACAAACATGATTTAAATGCCATTACAACACATGAGCCATGTAGAGTAGTGGTTAGCGCGTTAGTTTCAAAGCAGTCTGATACTTCGGTATTTTATTGCTGGGGTTAGAATCCCACTAATACCATGGAATATCTATATGAATGAATTTTTTTAAAGTGTTTACTTTTTCTCAGAAAATGTTTTTTTTTTCCTCAAAATTTCATAAATTTCAATAATGAGATGTAAATTTAAATAATTTAATTCTGGTTGTAACGTTGTATTTGATTGGAAAAAAAATTCTTTTATATTGTATAAAATGGGTTGCCTACGTCACAAGGACTTGCGTCAGAAACGTATTAATCCGCCTGACGTTACATTCAAATTTTGTACAAACTGAAGTCATTTTGTTGGAACAATCATCTTTTTTTCTTGCATCATATGAATGAAAATTAAATTATAGGGAATGAATTTAATAGCTACCTATTTTATACGGTATAAACTGGGTTGGAACAGTTTACGCTTTTTTATAAACCGCTTCGCGGTTTATAAAGCGTAAACTGCCCCAACCCAGTTTATACCGTATAAAATGGGTAGCTATTAAATTCATTCCTTAAATACTGAATTTACATATCAAATGTGATTTCTAAATGTCGGACGCTAAAGGCATTCTGCCCGCCTTATTGGCCCATCTTCTTTTATCGTTATGAACTTAAAGTAAATTGATTTAAAAAGATAACATTTTAAATATACAGCTGTATATCTTCTTACCTAGTTTTCTGTAAGCTTTGTTGTCTATGATGTAAATATCATTGTGTGGATAGAGGCCAATACAGGATCTCACGATGTCAGGTCTTGCGTACAATCCGTATCTCCAGAGCCATGTCACGTGATCTACACTGTCCCGTAAACTTCTTCTGAATTTAACATCCTTTCCTTTTTTTCTTAGATCCATTAGAAAATCTTTTCGCTTAGCTTCACCCTTCTTTAGCATTTGATTTGAAACATTCACTATAGAAAAATATGACTGGACATTGTTACAAGGTTACATTTATTATTCAACCAAACTTTTAATTAAGATTATAGATATACATTAAAGTACTGTAAAAGCACAACTATTCTCGGGGGATAAAATTTCGTTTATTTCGTTGTTAATAAAATTCGACGAAATTAAATCCCACACGAAATTTTATCTGACTATATATTGAATAGGGTTAGTTTCGAAACAACGAAAATAAATGCACATGAATTTATTTTTGATGACAAAACAACGAAATTTAATGCTCACGAAAATTTGTGCTTCTACAGTATACAGACGATAAATGCCTTTTGTGTACATTTTTTTAAATTTCTTTTTCCAGATAAGCATTGTTTGTAACCTTTTTTGAAGTCAATCACTGTTCACTATTTCCACCTTTTTACCCTATTTTTATCAATCTGTGGAATTTTATTTATCAATTAAAGGATTTTTCATAATCTGAATCTAATTACATTTTTTTTCATTGACTTACATATCTGGCATATCTCAGGATATATATTCGTGTCTTCCATTGTGACGTGAGTCAGTATGTTCATCTGTAGACGATGTATCAGTAAAGAATCACAGCCAACACCAATTACACACCTTTCTCCAGATTTTCTGTTGTAGCCCTTTGATCTCAGGTACGCACTGGCTGTGCCAGAGTTACTGTACCAGAATGGTATATCAGTGTTCATTGATGATACCCTATCCATTGTTTTATCCCTTGTGTCCTTCGTTAGCTTGTCCTGATCTTCCCAAAGGTATCCATAATCAGGTGACTTCAGTCTGTTCAGAGTTCGCTGTGCTTCCTGACTTGTTACAGGATTCATATTAAGGTACACTTCCTGTTTTACCCCAATAAGCAAGTCCAGCAACTCTGTGTCATTGAAGTTAGGAGAACTGGAGTCAGAACACAGAAAACAGAATAACACTGACACCTCGTCATCCGTAAGTATGGAGAATCGATCTAGAAATTGTTACAAACACATTATCAGAAAGTCAATATGAATGCATACATGTGTATACGGATGAGAGCAAAGAATACCGGTAATCAGAGAAATGTTTTGAGATTAGACGAAGAGATGGATTTATTATTGAAGAATAACGCCACTGGAGTAAGTCTAGAGATGCTTCAAAAACTATGGAAGTCTGATTGTCTAAAGGAATAGGACAAATCATTTAATAGTGATACCATGCGGACTGGATCGAATCTCAATGCCACGAGAAATCAGAAAGCAAATCAAGCATTAATTGCCCCCAAAACAAAATCTACATCGCCATTACACTCGTTTAATTACTCGAAACAAAATTCGCCCCACTCCTTTCCAAAGAAGCCAAAACTTTAAGAGAAATTGCCAACAAGGAATTAACCACCTAGAAAATAATAATCCCAATCACTAACAGATTAATAGACGGTACAAACCCTCAAACATTTACAGAAAAGGAAAAAACAACTTTCATCGAACATGATGTGCGGCGCTATACATGTATTTTCGGGGACGGCAAGCCCTACCAAATACAGAGGCACATATCACAATTATATCAACAGGCAAGGCAAGTCTAGTTGATGTTAAGAAAATAAATAAAACGTAGGAAGCAATAGAATTTGATCCAAATGTATTTAATCTTTTAGATATGATATTAACTAAAGCAGAGATAAAGTTATTGTCTAAAGGCTTGAAATATACACCCACCCCACTTAAATGTATGAATAACCAAGAACTAAAAAAACAAACTTTAAGGAATACACAATGCCAATACGACAAAGGGAATACTTTTACATGTACAAGGATGACGACAAACCAACGGGAGATAGCCAAAATTAGAAACAAGAGGACCTGGTAAAAATACATGTAAATTTCTCTTTTTTTCAAAACGAGGTAGAAATCGAACTTTAGATTTGGTATGTGAAATCTTGGATAATATTACTGTAACCTCCCTTATACTAACAAAGATATTAGATCTAATCTCACAAACGAAGAGCAAAAAGCTTTAATGGCTTACATAATGACTAAAGTGTCGCTATCAAAGAAGCCGAGAAAGGAGGTGGAGGAGTCATCATGAATAAAACACATTAGGAACGACGTAAGATTTTGAATAAGTCACAGGACCCCAACTACTATGTGAGTATTATTTCAAAACAAGAAAAAAATCTTCAGCAAATATAAACAACTTGTCGGTGGGCTATCCTCGGGAGATATAACTACCTAAGAGAAAGGCTTTCCCAAAAACGTTGATAAAAAATTACGGATTGCCAAAAATACATAAGTCATCTGCAAAATGTTCAAGCTCAGAAAAGAGAATATATTTGCTCTTTCATCCTGAAGATCTCTTTTTTCGGCCAATTGTAAAGGGCCTAATTGTTCAACTCGAAGACTTAGTCACTTGTTAGACATTGTATTAAAGCCTTATTGTGAAAGGGTTCTCAGTTTTGTAAGAGATGATATAGATTTTATCAACCCTACTGAGCATATTCAACCTTATTAAAACGAAACTGGTGTAAATCTCCGTTGTGAATTTATACAAAATTATATCTGTGGAATTTTGTATTAAAAGATTTAAATACCGGACTGAGAGATGCCAAACTTACTACAGAATAGTTTTGAGCAAGAATTCATCTTAGAAGGATTAAGAATTATACTTCAAAGCAATACATTTGCCTTTGGAATTGTGCATTTTATTTAAACCAAAGGAACAGCTATGGGATCAAAAGTGGCTCCTACGTATACCATTTTTACTTTGGCATATCTCGAGCAAAGACTCAATCAATAACTAGTCATCTAATGGGAAAAAGAGGATACTCAAGCAATAACATCAAAGTTGAAACCACTTTTAGATGATTGTTTCATTCTATGAAATGACAACATTGAGAGATTATCAATTTTCCACCAATTATTAAACGACTTAGATTCAAACATTAAATTTTCCATGGAAAGCATCAATACAAAATATCTTTTCTCGACGTTTTTGTCATCAAAGAAGAGACCAAACTTTCATTGGATATCTTCTACAAATCAACTGACACCCATCAATATTTACATTCTGGTTTCTGTCCCCCTAACTACACAGAATCAGCAATTCAATGCATTCTTGCCAGACGTTTACAGTGGCTGCAGTATTAATGTTGACAACTTACACGAACGATAATGTTATACGAACTATTCCGAACGCCTACCGCACGATTAAATCAGTTACCGAACGAACTTTCATAAGCACAATTCTACACGTTACACGATCCTACGTTAATGCTAATGCAAAAACACGATTCTTCACTCATATAGTTCAAAATATTTAGGAATCCATATGTTCAAATCGAAATAAGGCTTAATACCAATTTTAGATTTCAAGAATAACCAGTATTATTTCATAGACTTTGAACAAGTTGAAAAAAGAAAAAAAAGGAAATGAATATTTCTGGCACTAAATACATGTAAGACATTAGTTTAGAATATAGATGATTTTTCAGTTAATTCCCCGACTAAAAAAGGGATTTTATTTCGTTATGATTCAAATATTCATTTTATCTTTTGATTTCTTGTGTTTTGATTGAAAGAGAACACGTTTTTAAAAAAGTTTACACATCGATAAAATTTTCAATCAGAAATACATTCTTGACCAAACTTCTAGGTTATCGTATAAACGATGAAAGCAGTTATTCCTGGTCTGTTTTTGCCGAATTTTGAATACAAGAAACTTCCAATTTAATGAATTAAAACAAAACTGTCGACAAACTGGACTGACCCGCTGCCGGACGCCAGGAAAGTGTTTATGTCACTGTCCGATCACGAGTGTGAATAATAAAAATACCCTGATTTCTCGACGTTCATAATACGAAGCAAATCAGCTTAGTTTGTATCAATGTAACAGGGAAAAAACGTACCCCAAACTCCTGCCTTAAAAGCATCAAATCACATCAAATATTACTTTCATTATTCTTCCTTAATGTTTAAAGAAGGTGTCGTCGGTCTGCAACTTTCGGTCTTGAGTGTTGTCATTAAAGTCAACATGGCCATAGTCAAGGACGAACTATTATGAAGTAAAATGTCTCATACTATTAGGATAATTGTTGACTAAAACAATTTTCGATTAGTTTTCATACATTGTACGTTAATTTATTGTTTTGACAATTTAAAATGAACTCTTTCAAAATTCACTCGATTATGTTTCCTCGCGTTATAAAGAATGAATCGCTTAAACGTCCACATTTGGCCTCCCGATAATTTACAAAAAATAAGTTCAAAGATTTTCTACATATTTTTGTCTCAATCTTTTCATCAAACATTGTAGTTTATTAATTTCATTTTCGATGTTCACTTACATGCTCTGTAATTGGGTATTTATCTGATTAATATAGCAGGGGTACCTTGTTTACATCGATTTCCCATAGACTTTAGGCCACACCCCCATTTTGAAAGCCCATTTTTTATATGAGCGCATAGATGTTTCAAGTTGTACTAAATAGGGTAAATGTAAAGAGTTAAACTTGTCATTTTAATTCATGAAAGAAATTGTAACAGTCGTGCGCTCACATGTTATTTTCCAAAAAGGTGCAAAATCACGGGTACCTGTCCCTATAGTAAAGGCACCTTGTTTACAAATTTCAACCCACCTTTGACCTCATGAATAACAAAGCATTGAACACGTGACTCAAATCTATTCACTCTAATGCTTTGAGCAGATCAATGCGACATCGTGTCCAGTGTTGCAAGCTATCGATGGTCAAATCCTTTTCAAATGGTAATTAGAATTTAAAGTACCCTGGGATAAAATTTCTTTAAAGCAGTATATATATTTAATACTTTATAACATTTTTGATTTACTTGTTATTTTAGTCAATTTTGCTTGATTTTTTTCGGTATTTATCAATTTGCCTTAAAGTTTCTTCTTAAGTATACATGTACATCACATCAGTGTTACGTTCATTGACTCTTAGAAGATGTAAAAAAAAATCGATCGTTATTTGAAAAATATCAATTTATCATTTAGAAAATAATGCGTAATTCCAATTAAAGAAACCTTACGGAAAAGAAATTGAAGTGTCAGGCATTAAAAAGATTTATATATCGAAAAAAAAGCATTGCACAAAATGCACCCCTAAATGTAATTAAATTGAGAGAAACCCCAGGTTTCTTCTGACGACACTACAAATGTTATAATTTTTTACATCGGCACAAAATCTAACAACAATGAAAGATTTAAATATAAATATTACTATGTAACAAAAAAAAATCGAATGAAAAAGGGCGTATTTTTTTTGAAATGGTTTATTATTTATCTCCCTAGAGGACGAGAATTTTTAAGCAATGCAATCTGGACTGTACAAACTACACTTGTCTAACGCTGATGGGTTTTCTAACACTGATGGTTTTTTTTAATATCCATGTAGCAGCGATAATATTGACGTATAAGTTAAGTTTAATTTTCACTTTCTTGCGAATTTATTTTTCATACACATATTTTTTTACCTCACAATTCAAACGTATTTGTTGAGGCACACCAATTTCACAAAATTATATGTGTACATAATATGAAATAATCATTCACGTGAATGTAATATGCTTATTAATCATAAGCTTTAATGGAAAGGGGCTTTTAGGTGTCATTTCATCATAAAACGTAGTACAATTCGAACACACGCTAATGTATTCATACTAATCGCACGCTTGATAAACGCCCCGCCTTCTCATTCATATGCTAACTACAATGGCCTATATATAGCCGTAATGGCGAAGTTTTACAGTGAAATATGCGATTTTTTTTCATCGATATCATGTATATATTGAAAGTCTCTTTCCTAAAATATCCTTAATTAGTATCTATACAGACCATACTTGAAGACTTTAGCTACAAGATAATAATGTTCTTATTTAAACGGGTAAAATTCTGCATTTAAAAAGGGGCGAGATTGCAGTGTTAAGAGGATTCATTCTTTTCCTACGCCGCACAGAAATACCGGTTGGTATGGAG